GGGGGGAGGGTGGGTGGGTGGGTGGGATTTTAAAAGTTATTATTTTATTTTTATTTCCTCACCGTCACTCTCCCTCAATTTTTCATGGCACAGAGCAATTCGTTGGCTCAGCGTCTGCACAAGGAGTTGTCGGAGGAGCGGGCGTTAATTGCGGGATTGTCAAGTAGTGCAAGCACCTGGGAGGAGCGCGCTAAGAAGGCGGAGAAGGAGTTGGCGGCTGCTCGGGAGGAATTAGTTGACCTCCTCCTCAATCTCGAGTTGCGCGACAAAATTGCCGAGGCCTCCGCTGCTAATAACGTGGGTTTCCCTTCTCTTGTGTCCCCTTTGCAATGCCCACCTTATCTCGCATCTTTACAATCGTTGGGAGCAACTGCTGTGGTGTTTGGTTAAGGAATCACTTGTTTTGGTTAAATGGTGGAACTTGGCAAAGTGTCACCAGATTTAGCGGCATGTAGAATGGGGAGGTTAAGCCGCCCAGTAGTCTCGAATTCCCACGAGTAACTTCACATTGGAACTGGCGTCTGCCTAATGATTCTGGGCCACAGATGATGATGAGGTTTTTTTTGTTGGAGGATGGATTTGAAGTCCATGTGTTGTGCGCAAGGCCAGTAAATAGTTAAGCGGAGGAGTTTGAGGATTCCCTGTATGATTCCGATAGCTGCCAGTGTGTTTGTATGATACTTTGTTCTACAATTGCAACGTAATGCAATTACTCCTGTCTCAATGTGGGCATGCTTTCGATGTCACTGGCAACTTTTTGTCTGTAATAGTGAGCTTAAATGAAAAAAAAACTGATTTTCTCTTATGAATCGCAGGCAGTTACTTGTCGCAGTTACGCTTTAGAAGTTAGCTAACAACTTATTGAGTTTCTTTTTAAAAAAAACCATAAAGCATTTTTTGCTTTTATGTTATTTTCCATAATTAGATCACATCAGGAGAGTTAGAAGAAAGTGAACTTACTGTGAAGGAGCCGACCCAACGTCCAAGACGACGTCGAAAAAATCGCTAGGGGGGGCTGTTTCCTCCTCGTTTCCATGCAATCTTCACTTTCGCACACCACCTCCCTTACACCCCTTTCTTATACAGAGTGGTCTCATTAAAACGATATTTGTAATTTGGGTAATATATATTGTACATCATCAGGCTTCGTTTTGCTCTTTGTACTCCTTTTTTGCCTTTCCTTTCAAGGTCATTATGAAAAGAATACCTTTTTTGTGTTTTCACAAAGACATTCTAAACTTTTGTGGAAATAACGAGTGTCAGGTGAAGATGAAGTGCTGCGTTGAGGGCATCAACTCATTGCACTAGAAACACCACCTTCCAAGTGCCTGAGGTAAACACCTATGGAAGGAGTCTGTACTCAAAGCAGATGGAAGGTGGAGTGGGCGAACATTGCTACCTGACTACTCTCTGGCTCTCTCAGAGGTTGTCATTAAACCTTGGTGATGTGACCTGGACATTTTTAAAAGGGGGAAATTGGGCAGCGTTTGTGCCTGGATGTTGACTTCAGCGAAAGTGCATTAAATACAATTGTCCATATCACTAGACACCAAACTGTGTATCTTTTAGCACAAAGCTTGTTGCATCATGTAGGATAAGAAAGAATGAAATACATCTAACTGTTGGTTGGTTATTTCAACCCTCCATCTAGATCGAAGTGGTTGAGGTAATGCCGTTGAAAGTGCTCGGTCAAATGGAAAGGAGAGGATGAACTACTTGATGACCTGAGTAGACCATCAAAAAGAGAGAAGCTTTGGTCCTCTTATGTCAATCAATATTCTCCTCAACAAAAGTACTTGAAGCACATAAACTTCAATGGCTAGAGAGATTTGGACAGGTGTGGAGGAAAGCATGATTTCTGCAGTGAAGGAAATGATGACACGAGGGTATTAGTTGATATTTAGTGTTTAAAAGCCATCAGAGAAACAGATCTTGATGAAAGCGTTCGAAATTGGCATTATTGCCAAAAAATACTCTTTATTGACTGTGGTGTTTTTCATACGCATTTTGTGAAGTTCAGTTCAGCTTCTGGCTTCACAGGTAAAACGTGAAGAAGAGTGAAATCTCATGGATCTTCGTGAGGTATACGAAACCACCACTTCTTTCGCAGAGGTACATCAATATGCCATTAGACATATTGGATAGTATATAACTTCCATTTGGAGGTGAAATCCCTGAATGAGTCTGGTTTCAATTCTTGAGATTCTTCCTTGGTCGATAAGCTGTTTTCGAGAGGAATTCGCAAACGCTATCTCTCATGAACTGTATTGTCTATTCAATTGACTTAACATACTCAGTTGTTGCTATCATTGGCCAATCAGTCAGCCAATTATTTATCACCTATTCCAGGTTATTGAAATAAATTTACTTGTGCTAATAAGAACCGTGGTTTGAGATCCATTTCCCCTTCCTTGAGTCTGAATAGCTTCAGCGTTAGTCAGGGCCAGATTATAATCGTTGGAAAGTGTTCCAAAATAGTCCATAGTAGGACCTGCCTCTGGTGCACATCACCACGTCACAGTGGAACCAACTTCGTTGTTGTGGGTGTAGGATAGACTTACCTCCTCGTGGTGCACCCTGGGCTACGTATAATCATATGGCAAAAAAGTCTATTAACTGGCAGTTGACTTCTCACTTCAAACAACCATCACCCCCACAGTATGTCATATTCGGCTACTTCCACAGTACTCACCTCACCTCTTTTCTCCCTCTATGCCTGTCTCTTTTACACCCGTGATTCACTCTCCTATTCCCCCTCCTGAATTCTCACTTTTATGCTCCACCTCCCCTCTGTGAAACTTGAAGTCAACTAAAGGGCTAATGATAGCTATCAAAACGCGGGCTATTGGAAATTAATAAATAACTTCATTGTCTCCAGACGTCTCAATGCGTAATCTGTCCTCATACCATTCATAATCTTTTCCAGTGTATCATTAGCTTCCTTGTTTAAAAATAATACCTATCTGTTTTATTAACTAACTAAAATGGTTAATCATTGATCCTCAAATGCTTTGTAATTGCTCTTGCCAAATAATCCCATAATTTCGTTGACTATAAAATCATTTGTAATCATAAGATTGGAACGATTGTTACGTAACTCTAATAGAGTCATTTCAGACCAACTTCATTCTATAAGTGATCCAATCCAGAATGGCATGAGGATAAGCTATTTCTGAGGAAACAAAGTGTTGTGTCTAAGTCTAGATCTTAGAACTACCTCAAATAACAAGCCAGATCACGATAAAATAGATTAAATCCTATTTACGCTACCGATTCCGAGATGATGATAGCATCAATTCATTTAAAGCAAAATGGTAGCTTTTTTGTTTGATTGAGTCAAAAATACTGCTTTTTTCCTATTTTCTACGTCGCCTGTCTTTCTATTTCAAGACAGGAGGCGGCACCAGACAAATTTTGTTGACACTTATATTTGTTTCTCCTTTTCAACATCTTTTCTCTGCCTCTATTTGACTTCCTCCCTTCCGCCTATTTGAAGGCATCTGCCTGTTTTCATTCGATTCCCGCACTTTTCAGTGGGTATTAATCTGGGAAATCCTCTTGTCAGGCTTCTGGCCCCCGCACACTCGTGGCAAAGGTCTAAAGGAATTCCTTGATTTGACCTGACTGACGGGGCTATAACACCCACTGACGCTTTTCTCGTCTCCAATAGCGCAAATTTACACCTTGAAAGAATTTAAGCGCGAAGATTCCAACCGTTTGTCACAGAAAAAAGCGGATCATCCTTCTGCGCGCGCAGTGGTCAACAAAGACGGTTTTACTTTCCGAGAAAAAGTGGTATCATAAATGCCACCCATCAGAGTCAGTTCGAGGACTTCAAAAGTTCAAATGAAACAAAAAACAGCAGGGTATGCTCTCCGAGTTGAGAAATTAGTATCCGGTAACCTCAACCTGTTCCCCTCTATTCATCTGCTGTCTGATTGGTATAACGCGTGGTTGTACCCGGGCTCTCTATTGTCAAACAACATAATGAGCTCCCTCCAATTGAGATAAATCTACTTCAACCTGACCTCAAATATCTCCTCCGTCTAGTCAATCAGTTGGGATTTCCCTCAACTTGGAGCTAGACGCATTAGTCCCCTAAGATTTTGCACTTAGTTTCAAATGCGTTGCACATACCATGGCCAATGGAAACCGAGTGCGAGCCAAAACATCCTGAATCTTTATATAGACTCATTGCATCCGTACGATAATAACTGGTTAGTCACGAAAGCACTTATCAATTCAAGAAGAAAAATAAACAGGTGGGGGGGGGGAGGGTTGAGGATGTAGGAAATGCCAAGAGGAAAGACAAGTGGGAGATTAGTAGAAAGGGGAAGAATCAGCGGAGCTTGGATTTTGTGGGCCGTCCAGTTTCTCTGGTCGGTGAGGTCTCATGGATGAAGGCGTCCAGACAAGCAACTTGAAGAACTGGCACGAGATGATTGGTGGCAGCATCGTCAAGGTAACCGTTGGCCATGCCTGTATCGAGAAAAAGGTTTGCCACTAGTCGACGGCCCGACACCAGCGCATCCTCGCCTTCCCCATCTTCTTCCTTCCTCCCGTTATTTGCTAGAGCCTAGTGGAACAACGGTAAGCGAATTCTGTTAGCTCGTCTAGAAGTGCAGAATCGGCATTATATATTCCTATGGAGACACATGCTGCGAGTCTATGCCAATGACAACTTTGGGTGAGGAGCACAGGGATGAAAACTAGACCACTAGAACACTGGCATAGAAGACGAGCATGCGAATTGCTCTAAGCCATGATGAAGACCTCTCTTACCAAAACACAAATGAGCCAGAAAGCGAGAGAAGTCAAATAAAATCCTCACCTCTTTGAGATGTTTCACGTAGATTGAGCACAGCACCTCATTCTGCCTTTTCGCCGAGGCGATTAAGCTAAAATGGAGGAAACAAAGAAAAGGTGCGCACAATTTTACAAAAGAAGTACTACCATTTTCAAATTGTTGTTTTGGCTGTTTTAAAGGGAGGAAAGTTTGTCAGTATAATTTCGTGATAAAAAATAGATGCCGCTTTTATATGAACAATAACATTCTACAACACAGCCAATGAGTGGGGAGAAATGAGGGTTGAGGCCAGAGAAGATGGAGATAGAGACGGAGAAGGCGGCGGCGGTGGCTAATGAGATAGTGGAGATATGCAGACTAGATTATGGTCAGACGTTATGCCGAATTAAACGGGCTATTTTGGGTCCTATTCGGGTGTGAGGAGTGACCAAAGAGAAAGTCAAGTTTACAGTTTGGCAGATGCATCCACTAGGATGCCAGAGTATTAGATAACACGGGATCCGTCCCACCAGATCTAAGGCATTGTGCCTAGAGCATTGGCCAATAAAAAATCTAGTAATACGCGCATAATATGCCATACCGGTGTAGTACATGTCGTTTAAATGCGGGGGGGGGCTGTTCTTCAGAAACGCAAGGAAAGCAGCTCAAAACGTACCTGGCCACTTTCTCAGCGATGCTCAAGAAGCCACCGTTGAGTTGATCGCGATGCTGCTGTTGGTGTCCGATGAGGATGAGACATTCGGCCAACTTGTGGAGGTAAGCCAGTACTGCCGATGTGAGCTCGGCCAATGCCTCAATCGATCGGTAGAATATCTCCTGCATGAAATGAAGAGTGACGAAGAGGCGGCTTATCGCGTTAAAATGTGATTTAAATTTTTAAACAAGTCAAAATTGGGATAAACTAACTTTCATCGGCAAATCAGGCTCCAATTCCTTGCTCCTATTCGCCAATTCATCGGAGACCTTAAAATAAAAAAGACACAAGAGATTGAGGAAAACAATGAGGTGAGCCACCAATTCATAGCCTCCACAAATTACAACTGCTCCAGTCTCTATTGCTTGTCCACAGCATCTCCGAGTTGACAATTTGTCAAATAACTTCAGTGTCAGAATTCATGGTGTCAAAATATAAGAAGCAACTTAGAGGGGCAGGGATCGAACAACTGTTGCCTCATCGATAAGCTCCAGTGCCAACAAAATGAAATAAAAAATTTCCTGAGAATGAAGATTTCTTGTTCATTGAATGTTAATCAATAAAATACGAAGAACTCTTAAGAAACTAACAACACATAAGACGGTTCTCATTACTGTTATCTCACAATTACATTCCGTGTCATGGTCAGTACTGCAATTTTTTGATTAATTTAATTCAATTAACTGAAAAATAATGAAATACTTTAAGGAGAACATTTCCAGGAACTATTTGTTCAAGCCCCGTCACAGCATCAGAAAGTGAGACAACAGGATGTGCAGATTCAGAGTCCTGTTCCAGAACCTCAGAATCGTCCTTCTTCATCTGAAGAGTCTCCCAAATGTGCTCGAGAACGCCACCCTCAGAAATGAGGCTACTGCTGATATCGATGTCATCTTGGGTCGATGACTCCAATCGAGCCAATTTGGTGGTGAGACGAGCAGAGGCGCGTGAACTCAGCAACTCCAGGGCTTCCATGTGGACCAAAGCCAACCGCGACTCCAACTGAAAGGCTAAATCCCCCCTTCGCGCCACCACTGAAGCCGGATCTAGTGTGTGCTGCTGCTGCTGGTCGCTGACATCGCGAAGCATCTGTGAGAGAGAGAGAGAGAAAGGGAGAAGAAACAACCAACACCTCAATGGGCAAGATACTGGAGTGATTAGACCCTAATATTTGCCTAAATAGCATACATTAAGACAATCATTTGAAAAATACATCCAAGACAAAGCTCTTTTTAATCTCGGTTGGATATTGGAAAGACTAACCTGTGAGAGTTTGGCACCACTGCTGCCGCTGGAATCGACCGGTTGAAGGAAGCGCTTTGTGTAGACCAGGCCGGGATCGTTCTCTTTCAGTGCTGTGAAGGTCTTTCGTCCTATTTGCTCCAAGACGTCCACACCTCCAGTAATCAACTGCATGCCCTGCGAAAGAAACAAAGAGAGACCGCATACAATTTGCATTTCATGAAAGGACACGAAACACGATAAGCTCTTTTTTCACAAATAGAATACTTTCGCAAGGATTATTGACAATATTAATAAACGGAAGTACAACCGGGTGAACTGCACAAATGACATAAATAATACTGACTATACAATTCGACTACAAGATTTTGATACAAGTCGCGCAATGACAGAAGCAAGCGTCACTTGAATGAAGACCGCAATTTGCAAAAGTTCAATCAGGGCAATTTTAGGGGATGTTGAGACTATCGTAAAGTGATTTCATGAACAAATGAGTTCGTCAACTCGTGCTTAGGTGTTTACATTTCACTTCCTTTACTCGGCTTCATCCCTTCTGTGCGCTCCTCCAACAATTGAAGGAAAGAACAGATCTGGGAGATGGATCCTTTCTTTCCAAAACGCTAGAAAATGCACAAAAGTGTTTTTCCTGGATGAAGAATCAGTTTAGTGCACTGAGGAAAACATTTATTATCATGAAATGACAGGCGTTTTGATAGTTATCATTAGCCCTCTAGTTGACTTCAGGATTCACAGAGGGAGAGGAAAATCAAATTGAAAAAAAGTCGAGAAGGGGGAGGGGGGAACAGAAGAGTGTTTCAAAGATGTAAAAGAGACAGATACAAAGGCAGAGAAAAGGTGAGGTGGGTACTGTGGAAGAGGTCGAATGTGACAAACAGTCAGGTCATGGTAGTTTGAAGTGAGAAGTCAACTGCCGGTTAATATACTTTTTGTGCCGCATGAGAATACGTTGCCCAGGGTGCACAACGTGGAGGTAA